ACTTTTTTTTTTAGATGAAGTTTTGCTCTTGTTCCCCAGGCTGGGGTGCAATGGTGAGATCTTGGCTCACTGTAACCTCTACCTCCCAGGTTGAAGTGATTCTCCTGCCTCAGCCTCCTGAGTAACTGGGATTACAGACACATGCCACCACACCTGACTAATTTTGTATTTTTAGTAGAGATGGGGTTTCTCCATGTCGGTCAGGCTGGTGTCAAACTCCCGCCCTCAGGTAATCCACCCGCCTCAGCCTCCCAAAATTGCCCGTTGCGATTACGGGCGTGAGCCACTGGCTTTACTTTTGTCCTCTTGGCAGAGCCCTTTTTGATTTTCTCTTAGAGTATATTGATATTATTTCAACTTGTTTCTGGACCTCTTATTTTTTCTCTACCTGTCTCACACTCCCACAACCTCCCAAACTAGATTAATATTTCTATTTTCCAATTCTGCACATATTGCTTTCTTGTACTAAAATTTGCTATTTTCTTGTTGTCTGGTAGAAATAGTACAAACTCTCCAAATTGGCATGAATGATTCTCCTCAAAGCGTAAACAATCCTACTAGGTTTTCCCACGTTATTACCCTATAGCAGTGTGTCTAGCACATAATAATGAGAGCTATTAAAAAATGTTTGTTTAAAAATGAACATTTCTTATGTTTCAGCCAAACTTAATTATTGTTAGTGATACTTTATAATGCTATATGTACTAACATCTCAGTTCCTTTGTTCGGGCTATAGGGAAATCTATATCATAAAATGCCATAAGTTAATTGGCAGATAGGCTGTCTTCCTATTTTTGCCTTTTAGTATCCCATCAAGCCTTCAAAACTTCATCGCAAAGCCATCACAACCATGCCACTTCAGAAACACTTCCTTGTGGCCAGGCACGGTGGCTCACACCTGTAATCCCAGCACTTTGGGAGGCCAAGGTGGGAGGATCACTTAAGGTCAGGAGTTCGAGACCATCCTGGCCAACATGGTGAAACCCTGTCTCTACTAAAAATATAAAATGTAGCCGGGCATGGTGGCAGGTGCCTGTAATCCCAGCTACCTGGGGGGCTGAGGCAGGAGAATTGCTTGAACCTGGGAGGCAGAGGTTGCAGTGAGCCAAGATCACGCCACTGTACTCTAGCCTGGGAGATAGAGCAAGACTCTGTCTCAAAAAAAAAAAAAACAAAAAAACAAAACAAAAACCTTCCTTGTTCTCACATCCATGTCTCCCAGCTGTTCTTTGAGCCACTGTAGCACTTTGTTTAGTATCACCTATCATACCATTTCCTCTACCATGTAGCATAGTAATTTTCACATTTAGATAACCGTCTTTCTCCACAACTTGAGAGCAAACTCTGGGAAGACAGATTTTTCTTACTTCTCTGTTAGACCTTGTAGTACCCATGACGAGTGATTTATTAATCTATGAGATCAATACCTTTCAAGGGTTTTTGGTGTTTCTTTTTGTTTTTTTAACCACTGCTCTTCTTGCCATAGCAGGGCCATTTCATCAAATGTAATCTTGCATGGAAATCCACAGAAGAAGAAAAAAATGAATTCCCTCTAGTTGGAAGAGACGTGATTGTTATATTCTTCCCAAATATCCTCTTCCTGCTACCTTTTGCTGACTATACAGAACACCCATCACTGTGCTCAATCTTATCTGAAAACTACAGTATTTAGTTTATATGTCACAGCCAAACAGAGCGAGGCCTTTTACTATCACCCCCTCAGTGTTTTACCAAAGCTCTAAATTTGTGCTTGGAATAAACACTTAAATAGGGAGGAGCACCTGAAGTCACGTATGGTTAGTGGTTACCTTATATTTCTTATAATTGCATGTCTATTTATTGCCAAATTTTACCCCTGATAAAACCCACCCTACCTGTTGGAAATAGCTAGAAATTGAAGAGAAAGAACTTAAGTGAGTAACATAATAGGATTAGATGTTTTCAACAAATGACTTAGAAATAAAGTATATGCAGGTTTTCCTGTGCTCTTTTGCTTTTTGCAAGAAGAAGGCTGAAATATGAGCAAGCTGACATTTTGCATGCATTCAGGAGGAAAGGGAGGGGTTGATAGGATTGGTTTGGGGCAGAGTATTCTGTTGTATTCTGAGAGGTTTGGTTCATCACAGCTAGAAGCAGGGGCAGGAAGGATTCCGATAAAAACAACCCTGGCTATGGGGAAAGATAATTTTTGGGGGGTGGAGGGGTTGGGGTAATGTTCCAATGAGCACGGGAAAGTTTTCTCTGAAGAGAGGTGGAAAATTGCCTTGAATTCTGATCTGAAGACGTGCCAAATTCTGCTTGTCTCTAGAGTTACAGCCACTCAAATTGGTAAGGGCAAAGAATGCTCCTAATACAAACTAGAGTTTCAGGAAAGGAAGAAAGAAAAGGGAAGTGAAAGGAGTATATGAGATCATATTTGCTTTTAGGGTGTAAAAATTAAGGGAGATCTAGGTCTTCACCAAGGGCAGTATTCTAATAATGTCTTAAAGACCCAAGTCTTTTGTTCATTTTTCTTCTTCTTATCTTTCCTCCCTTCTCTCTCCCTTCCCCTTTGTTCTGCCCCCTCACCTTTTTATTTAATGTCTATCAGAAAGTTGAAAGTGATGTTTTCCATTGTCTGTTTTCTAGAAATCCCTGCTAAAGCCCAGAAGCTGCTGCAAAACCAGCCTGATAATACCGCTGCCTTCTAAGGGGAGCTTGCAATGAGGTTAGCCCTCATTTTAGGTTCTTTAGAGGTCACTAAACAAGCTTAGGGACCCTCATCCAGTCACCTCCCTCCATACTCAATAAATAGAAGATTAGGTGTTTGAGGAGGGTGTTATAATTCAGTGACCTAGTAGAGAATGTTTGTGAGGTCGACTCTTGAAGATAATTGCCGATAGAGATAATTACTCACTATATTTTAAAGAAGGAAAGACTAGCATCTCATGCCTGAGGTGAATGTCTGCTAATGAATCCAACTTCTGATCTACTCTGTGTCTATGTCAATGCGAGAAGGGAACTGGTAGAGACCTCGGGAAGGAGTCAGCCATGACCTAGTCCTATTGCTACTCCATTGCTTGGAGAGGTTATGATGCATGAGTTTCCTGTGGAGTGGTTGACACATAGCTGACCTCACGCTAGTTTTCTTCAACAGAGTTCCTGCAGAATGAGGGGAACAATAGCAGAGGCGGTGGAGAATGCTACGGATGGCAGAGCTATAGGGCGAACAGGAGAATCAAGCCAGAGCATTTCCCCTGGGAAAGAAACTATACTGTGTGGTGTCCCTACTAGTTGGTATCTTGGAAATTACAAATCAACTCCACTAGAAAGACACCCACTACTCAGAGAAAATCCAAGGTCAGTCCCTGTCAACAAGGGGAAGGGCACAGTAGTACTAACTAAGTCAGTGATGTTTGAACTTTTTCATCTCTCCTAATCCTCTATCCCATTCCAACACAGGTAAAGGAATCCAGAAGAGAGAGGGGGAAGAAAAGTTGCAGGAACTGACCACATCTGCTTTCTCTGTTAGGTCCTTTAATCCATCACAGTGGGCGAGAAAAGCATTAAATAATTTAAATATAGAGCACGGTGGCTCACGCCTGTAATCCCAGCACTCTGGGAGGCCGAGGCGGGTGAATCACGAGGTCAAGAGACCAAGACCATCCTGGCCAACACAGTGAAACCCCATTTCTACTAAAAAATACAACAAATTAGGGGGGGCGGAGCAAGATGGCCGAATAGGAACGACTCCAGTCTCCAGCTCCCAGCACAAGCGACACAAGACAGGGGATTTCTGCATTATCAACTGAGGTACTGGGTTCATCTCACTGGGGAGTGCCGGACAATCGGTGCTAGTCAGCTGTTGCAGCCTGACCAGCCAGAGCTGAAGCAGGGTGAGGCATCGCCTCACCTGGGAAGCGCAAGGGGGAAGGGAATCCCTTTTCCTAGCCAGGGGAACTGAGACACACAACACCTGGAAAATTGGGTAACTCCCACCCCAATACTGCGCTTTAAGCAAAGGGGCACACCAGGAGATTATATCCCACACCTGGCTGGGAGGGTCCCACGCCCACGGAGCCTTCCTCATTGCTAGCACAGCCCACGGAGCCTTCCTCATTGCTAGCCCAGCAGTCTGCGATCTAACCGCAAGGCAGCAGTGAGGCTGGGGGAGGGGTGCCCGCCATTGCTGAGGCCTAAGTAGGTGAACAAAGCCCTGGGAAGATCGAACTGGGTGGAGCTCACAGCAGCTCAAGGAGGCCTGCCAGTCTCTGTAGACTCCACTTCTGGGGACAGGGCACAGCTAAAAAATTAGCTGGGCATGGTGGTGGGTGCCTGTAGTCCCAGCTACTTGGGAGGCTGAGTCAGGAGAATGGCGTGAACCCAGGAGGCGGAGCTTGCAGTGAGTGGAGATCGCGTCACTGCACTCCAGCCTGGGGGACAGAGTGAGACTCTGTCTAAAAAAATAAATAAATAAAAATAAATAAATAAATAAATAAATAAATAAATAATAAGGAGTTGAAAGCTGACTGGACCGGACTTGTTATACCCAGAATTGCTAGAACATAAAATGTGTGTAAGATAATGTGAAAGAGATGGGAATTTAGTAGAGCATGATTGAATACAGCTATTAGAAAAAGAGAAAGCTATGTCATGTTTATATCCGAACAGTGTTTAGACTGCTCAGTAAACTTCATGCTATTTGGAGGCACTGCAGTTGCACAGTAGTTATACTGTCTGTCATAACACTGAAAGTGAACTCACAGAACATGCCTGCTTTCATAAAGAACCCCGAGAATTCAATCTTCTTTGTAGAATGACTGCATGATTAATAATCTAAGATTCTAATCACTTGACCCACGGTAATCTACTGTGATTTTAAAGTAAGCTGTTAATTGTCTTATGTGCAAGGCTGGCTTCTGTTTTTTGTGACACATTCTGATAAGAACTTCTCAATGGGAGTGATAGATTTTCTTTGGATTTTCTATTAAAAGAAGAGAAGAAACTTTGACAAATCGGCATTTTAGATTTTGATGTCTCTAAGGAGTCAGTTTTTATTTTTTAAGAGGAGACCTGTTACACCCAAGCATGCATTCAAAAGAGATAAAACTAAAAGAAGCTTGCAATGGGATGGATCATTAAGGACCTTCTCAGAAATAGATGAAATGGATGTGGGCTTTAGCAGTTGTTGTTGTGGATGATTCGGCACTTCAGGAGCTTGAGATAATTGTCGATCTTATGTGAATCCCTGCGTAGGCAGTGGAGCAGGTTATAATAAGCAGAAAGGCGAGACTCTTCATCAGCCATCTGCAGGGATGGAAGTCCCGTCCAGACAGGGTAGATCTCATTTTCTTTGGTTTCAGGATGAACCTAATCACAAAAAAACAGTGACTTATTCTTCATATTATTAGCATTTGTATGTCCTTGTTCTTTCTAACTGTTGGATTAAGAATTGAGAATGAGATATGCATGTAAAGTTTTAGACAAAGGCAATGATTTTTGTATATCTGGGCCAGTGGATCAGAAACCTATTCATCTAAAAACTAGAAGCAGAATACACGTTTAGGTTTTCTGACATCTATGTGATCACAGATGAAGTATGTTTTTGCAGGAGTAGACAGATGAAGAACTGGAAAGGTACTATGTAAATATCGACATAGATTTGACCAAGAGACAATGGAGTAGCTCACTTCGGTGCTCTCACTCGAGGAACTATTTCATTTCCCCATTTCCCCAGTCTTGTCCCTGATGTATCCTTCGTGCTTTATTCTTCCTGACATCCTTTATTTTCTTCCTGCTTTGAACTCAATCTATTCCCTATCTAGTGTATGTTCCAAAAACTTTAAAAAAGATGAAGATTGTACTTGTACTTGATGCTTTGGGGTACAGATAATTTAGTGATGACCATGACTAAGAAAAGCTGCTTAGCAGTCAGGAGATTTTCATTTCCTCAGATTTCTAGGGGAAACAATTGCTTTCTTTTGAGGTCCCTGGGCTGGGAGGTGCTGGGAAAAGCACCTACAAGAAAAGGGTACAGGCCGGGCAGGGTGGCTTACACTGTTTCACGCACTTTGGGAGGCTTGAGGTCAGGAGTTCAAGACCAGCCTGGCCAACATGGTGAAACCCCATCTCTACAAAAAACCCCACAAAAATTACCGAGGCCTATTGGTGCACGCCTGTTGTCCCAGCTACTTGGGAGGCTGAGGCATGAGGATCGCTTGAACCCGGGAGACAGAGATTGCGGTGATCACGCCACTGCACCCCAGCATGGGTGACATAGTGAGATCTTGTCTAAAAAAAACAAAAGGTCGGGGGGTTGCCGGCAGCAACCCTTCAGTGGTGAGGGCTGTGTGGTAGGGTTGGGGGCATGGCTGTGATAACAAAAGGAGGCTGAACAGCACAACAGAGGGCATGCTATGTTTCTTCACACTCTATAAGCCTTTGCAAACCAGGAAAGCCCAGAGTTCTTAGAGACCAAGTAACCATTTTAGCAACTTTAGGGATGTCAGCTAGTTTGGAGAGCTATTAGGTATAAATCTGCATGTAGACATGGATCTACTAAACCTTTTTCTACAGAGTGAGAATATTTTTCAAATCTGGGATTCCCTATTGGAATTTAAAGTGTGTGTGTGTGTGCGCATGCCTGTGTGTGTGTGTGTGTTTTCATTGACTGGCTTTATGTTTTTATTTTTAATTTTTGGTACTTGAGCCCTAAGACAAAATTTACTGTGTAAGGGATAATGATATGAACAAGAATAAATAAATAAGTGGTAGAGAAAAAAGAACAGAAAATGGAGTACTATAGAACAAATTAGTGACCTCAGAAATTAGGTTTACAGTAATCATACATTCCAAGGTTAGTATGTACTTTGTGTTTGTTTTGGACATATTTTTCTCCCATGAAAATAACAAAAATGATACATGATAACATGTACTTAGTACACAAAAAGAGAAATACAAAATTGTTCCTGTTATTATTCCTATAATCATATATTTTTCTTTAGATGGTACATTATCCCTGAAAACCTCAGAAGCTGTTTAGGTATTATCTCACTAATGTTGAAATTATCCCATCTGAATGGAGATATCTATTGCAAATACTAACACAATCTAAATATGACAGATTATTTGGGGGAGATTAAGTACAATGACATGAGTTTTGATTTTGGAGTCCCAAGAAAAAACAAAATTTAGAATGAGGCAACTTTCTATAAATTACAAAACAAAAACATTCCAGAAAAGATATATCCCCTTCTTTTGTGACTCCCTGCCATCTAGTGCTTGTGGGATCCCCTGAAACCAATGCAACCTGTGTGCACTGATGTCATTGTCTTGTCATGTTAATATCTGCTCCTCCCTGACAAGTCTGCGCAGCAGATCGGGGTGAGTGGCTGCGGGACCATCTAATCTGATTTTGGTTTTCTTCTTTCTCCCATCCCACTCTCATCCTCTGGTAAGGGGAGAAAAGAGAAAGCATCTGACCAGAATTTTCAATAGTGGGTGTCCTGGGATACTCTGCAGAAAACATGTATCTTGCAGATTCTATTCTCTAGTTTTCTCTCCCTTGAAAACACTTAACTTCCTGTCCTCAGGAAGGGGCAAGTCTGTGGTTTTGCATATAGAGTAGGGAAAGTGACATCTGTCAAATAGCATTCTAAGATTCATTTACATTAGAATCTATGACTATGAATGACTAGGCTCTTGCTTTATTTAACAGCGGTCTAGAATATGGAATGCTGAAATTTTCTTCTTTCAAAGGGAAATATTTCTCATCACAGAGGTCACCGCTTATATTAATGAGAAAAACAAAGAAGCACCAGGAGGCTACTCACCTGGCTGACTATCAGCTCCATGCCCTCTAGAAGCCGTTTGGTTTGCTCCTCAATCTCTACGGCTTTGGATAGGATAGCCTCCGGGGCTTCTTCCATACCACGTACTTCTGTGACTAGATGATACAGGGGCTCATTCCAGGATCGCAATATGCTGACTATCAGGCTCAGAAAGTCTTTTTGCTATGAAACCATATAGAACAATTGCATTAAAATAGGTAAAGTACAATGGGGTTAGTTACATGTGATTTTTGCTTAGAGAGGCTGGACGAAAATATCTCTTTTTATTCCTATGTGTAGGTATATTTTTCTTTAGGTGATAGAAGTTGTAGAAATGTAAAATTTAAACTATTGGCCTAAACTTTGCTAAAATTAAAAAAAAAGTCTGGCTTATTTCAATAACCACTTTTTCTAGTAAGTGTTCTAATTGATAAAATGAAGAATTTTGTTTTTCCTCTGAAATTCTACCATCTGTCCACTTAGCAAAATCTTTTGTATTTGATCGATTTGCTTGTCCCTGGGGAGAAACTAAAGTGTTGCCGGAATTCAGTAGGTGCCCAGAGTATCTGACTTGTGAGAAATAGATTCCACTGGGGTCCATGTCAAGGGGCCCAAATCACTCTCATCCAAGCATTCATTCATACTAATGAATCAAATTGTTCATCAAACTATTCATAATTTTTGATTTGTAGCTTTATTTGGGGATCCTAGAACGAAGAGACAATGAAGATGACATGGAATTCATCAACATGCTTTCCTTGATCTATACAACCCCTGCCCCATGCTGCTGGCAGAGCAGTCTGTTCTCTTGGCTTATGCAGGTGAGTAAGATGCAACCAATGTTATCTGGAATAACCATGGAATTCACAATGGCGTTCTGGCTGCCCAGTTTTTGCTTACTACCAGGATCGTGTAGGAGACTCCAAGTAGCTGATTATCTCTGATGTAAAATGCTTACCTTGTAGAAGTACGTGAACTAGTCTAGTGGTAACAAAAAGAATAAAGAAGAAATAAATGGACATTGCAATGGAAACATGTACGAGGATATGAAAGAAAGAAGCTATAAAGAGGTACAGGCCATAAAGTGAGTGTCAGTGTAGTTTTTCTGGGAGCATTGCAACACAATGATTAAGAGTAAGGGTTGTGAATTGAATGAAGCCCAGGCTCACTGCTTATTTGCCATGTGACTGGTACAAATTCCATAGCCTTTCTGAGCCTCAGTTTCCTTATCTCAGTAAGTGTAATAACAGTACCTCATGTTATAGGATTTTTATGAGGATTAAATACAGTAATGCCCATAAAGTGCCTGGCAATGTAGTACAATTTGAGCATTCCTAATTTAAAAATCTAAAATCTGAAATACTCCCATGAGCATTTTGTTTTTTTAGCATCATGTAGGTGCTCAAAAAACTTAGGATTCTGGAGTATTTGGGATTTCTGATTAGTGATAACTCAACCTGTAGATCTCAATAAATATTTCCTCTTCCTCCTCCTTCTCCCCTTTCTCTTTCTCCTCCTTCTCTTATTATCATAATTATTATTAATGAACATAGCAGACAGAAATGTTGGTACCATTCCTAAAATTGTAAATGGAGAATACGTTGAATTTGTAGGGGGCATGTATATAAAGATGTTTGTTTTAAATCATGTTAAGGCTGTGATTATGGTAGACAACCAAAAGGGAGAAATTACAGCAACAGAAGATTGAAGCTGAGATACATGATTGGGGCTGATACACAGACTTGGTAGTCATCAGAACAGTGGCAATTGTTGTAGCTGTGAAAAGTAAAATATTATGTTTTACAGGATCTGTTTTGTTTTTTTTTGTGAGGGGAGTGGTGACTTTTAACTAAAAAGTAAGACAGGGCAGAAGAGTCAGTGAAGAATGAAAAAGTAGGTGTCAGAGAAGCAGAAATAGAACCAGAATAGAGTCTTGAAAGTCCAGAATAGATGGCTTCAATAGTGCAGGGGTCAGTAATGTAACACGCTGTTGATGTAGAAGTCACGAGTAACATGTAATAAATAAAACTGCATTTGTTTTTCTTACATATGCATAAATGTATATTTACCCACAGAAGTCGAATTCAGTTCAAACTTTCATATAGTATATATACAATCCTAGCGAAAAGGCATTGGTTAAAATAATGTTATCTGCAAGGACAATGTACGGATCTGCTATTTAGATTGCCACTACCATCTTTACTTAGCATTTGATTTGACTCATATTTTGTCAACTACATAATGTAATTTTTCGATTGCTTATTCTTCCTATATTTTTCTCTGCATGTACAATTACCACTGTATTACAGCACCTCTAATAACCTATCACCATGATAATACGGTGTACTGCCTTGGTTGTTTTGGTGCAAAGCCTGGATGAAGGACTCACATTCATCTGTTGGGCTTGCTCCTTGTCTTCGGGGGTGGGAAGGGAAGAAGTGTGGCAGCTGTTGATGGCCCTGGTAATGAACCCCCGGCCATGGGTATACCGTTTATCCTGGAAATGATGAGACAAATTCAATTAGTTGGGGTTGTTTGGGCATTGAATAAATGAATCCATTACCAGAATACTAATACATTTGACAGATGTGTAATTTTTAAAATTTAGAGCTACATAAAAATGAAAACTAAAGAATTAAGAAAGTAACCCTTTTGCCTACTTCCCCCCATTATCTCTGTAAACTCATTTTTTCATCTAGTTTTCATAAATCTCAATCTTTTCCCTTCTTTGCAATTCTCTTGTTGTTTACTTTTACCATTCACACAAGTCACACAAGTTACTATTTGGAAAGCAAATGCTAAAGATACCAAAAATATGAAACAATACATTTTGTATTGAGAATCATCTTTCTTCAGCATTTGAGCCAAATGCCATAGTGCAAATGTATTTACATGTATTCATTTAATCTCTTATTTACTGTGGGCCCAAACTGATAGACTTCTCTTAATAGGCATTGTAAAATTATAACTTTTCTCTAAATGTTTCTCAGAGTCCACACACCTGTACCTTACTAAATTCATGATAGACATGGAATACAACTTTTTTTTATTATGACAAAATAAGTCAGAAACACAGGGCACACAATTTTAGGAAATATAAACAATGGACTGAGGATAAGAGCAGAATAAAAAATGAGCTAACAAATTGACAGGAAAGACTAGTCTTTAGCAAAACTTATAAAAGTCCAAAGGAATTACTAGGAAGATTTGGAAGACAAAAGATGGCCAGTCAAAAATGGAGGATGAAAGAGAAATCAGAGAGTAAAAATAATTTTATAAATGTACATTTATTCTCTATGGAGGCCCCTGATTTATTAAAGCAGTAATCTATTGTCTGCTCCTTGATTGACCTAGAAGAGTTAACCTATGATTTCCAAAATAGGTTATTCAGAAATAGAGTACATATTTCTGAAAAAGAAAAGAAAGGGGGGAAGGAAGGAAGGAAGGAAGGAAGGAAGGAAAGAAGGAAGAAAGGAGGGAACTAGGGAGAGAGGGAAGGAAGGAAGGGTAAGGGAAGGGAGGAAGGAAGGAATGAGGGAAGGAAGGAAGGGAGGAAAAGAAAGAAAAAAGCACTGGTTTCCAATTCTAAACTAGTCCTTTATTGTAATTTTAAACCCATACACTGAAAATCCCAGAAAAATGATTTCTAGCATTTTGGGGTTTTTGAAAAGTTATTAATTGTTTATTTTCCCCAGCATGGATTCAGCTCAGTTTAATTCTATTCAATCCACCCAATTCACTGCAGTGCAGTTCTTCGTTATTGGATATCTGTTCTGTGCTAAGTGAAGAATGCCTGTGGAGTCTGACCCCTACATTCAAGAATAAGAAATCAACACTCTTCCTTCTCCTCAGCCCCAGCTAAGCATGCTTTAGGTCAGGTGTTTAAATGTTGTTTATTTTTAAAAAATAAAGTGAATTAAAGAAAAAATTTAAAAGTCATTACATTCTTTGAGAATCTTTGCGATTTCATGGCACTGTCCCTTTCTTCTTGTTCCACATCTTATGAGCTGGTGTCTTCTTTCACATGTTAAAGTGTAACATTTGAAATTTGGCTTGGGAGGTTTTCTAGGTTAACATGTAGTAGAGCCCAATAGATCATGGGAAGTCTCCTTCAGGGAGGAAGCCAGAAGAATGGTACTTACGAATTCGCTGAACATTTCTGAGGAGAGGTTATGGATGTAGTGGGACAGGACAACTGCGCGGTCAAACAGGTCTCGAAGGGTCACCTGGCATCTGGCAGCCCCACCAGGACAGATGGGCAAGGGGGCCACGTTCTGGCACAGGAGCAGGTTTGACACCAGCAGCAGCAGGAGGGACCCTGCTTAAATAAGAATGCGAACCACTCTGAGATGATCTATTCCACGGAGGTTCTCAAAAGAAATCCTGCCGAGGAAAGCCTTATTGCTCCCCACTGCCCTCAGCTGCCTGATTTGGCACTGTAATGGCTGGGATGGGGGAAGAACCAATGCCTTCCACTATGTAAATGTAGATATATATATAATTGTGTTTGCACAGATATATAGTTTGAGAAGTGGGTTACTTCCTGCATTTTTGTATGGTTCCCAGAAGTGCTTCTCTACTTTGCAAATATTTGGAGCTTAAATTAATTCTGAGCTAGGGTGTTCAGGTCATTCTCTTAAGATAGTTTAATGTCTTGGGAGTTTCTGCAGGTTTTAAGCAGTCAGGCTGTCCAGGAGTTTGTAATGTTTTTTTAACTAGGTGTGTCTGATAATTTACATTTTAGACACTGATATAACAAAAACAGCACAGTTGATCCTTTCGATTTATCATCCTGCCTGATAAGAATAAACACATGATTGTTTGATTGCTAATACTGAGTATGAAGAGAATTCTGACATAAAAATAATGCTGTAGCTTAGATCTGCTAACTCACCATAATAATCCCATGCATTTGTTTGACACTTTGCCAAAAGCATTAAATTTGTTTTCTATATTTGAGCTTCATAATAACCTTGTGAGATACACTGGGCCTTTGTAATTATCATCAAATTATATTGATGAAACAGATGGCTTAGGGAAGTTAAGTGATTTTTCCCCAAGTCGTATTATTAGTGGGTGAGAGAGGCAGGATTGCAATACTGTGGTCTTTGCACATCGTCTTGTCACATCGCGTACACCTGTGGGCTCTCAGTCTGCATCTGTGTAATGGGGGCCGCATGAGTAGCTGTGATGGCTCAGTGTTTACGCAGGTTGTTGCCATTGCTTATAAAGAACAAGTTCTTTGCCTTTGATTGATTGCATCACAACAGAGGCCCCAGAAAGCTTGATTTTATCCACTTTTCCTGCTCTAATTACAAAACACTCTGATCTTTGTCGAAGGTTTTCAAAGCTTTGTCCTCAATTTGCTATCTCAGCAAATGGACAGTTACAGGCCTGTAACATATCAATAACTTATACTTTCAAAAGGAAAGAAATGATATATAGCTACCAAATTTAAATCACTTGTTAACTTCAGTGACACTACCCCAAAAGAATGCCCAATATAAAACCGTGTTTATCACAAAACTTAAGTCCTTCGAAACCTTTAATAAATGCAATCTGAAATGTCCAAGATAAAACTAGGCAAATGCTAAAGATTAGTTTGTGAAAAAGTACCTAAACCTAAACACTTAAAAATACCTAAAAAATTGTTTAGTGTAGGAAGTGACGTTTTAGTTGCAAAATAAAATTTTTGTTTGAGATGATTCCTATTACAGACTTTTAATTTTTCAAAAACATGATGCTTCCAAAAAGTTTATTTTATGCATACTATAATCATATGATGAAACCAAATGTATATTTTATCTGTATGTGTAAATAAAATGTGCTTTGTGGATAGAGAAATTGGAATAACAGGTCTAGGAAATTCACAACTGGATAGATGTTCTGTATTCTGAGTACATTTATCTGCACATTTAGCATGGAAGGGATTTTTAAAGCCCAAGATGAGGTAAAATAGACACATGTTTTTGTTCTTCATTTCACTAGAAACAAATTTTATGGTTGTTACTAATTTATTTTCCTTGCAAATGTCAACCAAGAAAGTAAAGGTGATTAGTTATTACTAGGTAACCTGTTTTTCCTTTTGAAATGTCATTTGGCGTGAACCAAATTGACAAAGAATAGAAAAGACAATTCTGCTATTAGTGTCTATTTTATGGCTTCACAATTGAAAGTTTCATCAGGTTGATTTGAGTTGGCCAATCCACATTAGAGGCCTGATAACCAGAAAATGTTACTTTGTCCCTTTGAGAGTTGTGGCAAATTGGACCCATAGACTCTTTGAGTCTTATTCCAATCCAGAGTTTCTCAATCTTGATATTATTGGCATTTTGAGTTGAATAATTTCTTGTTCTGGGGGCTGTCCCGTGCATTGAAGGATGTTTAGTAGCATCCCTGATCTCTATCCATTAGATACCAATAGCACTTTTCCCTCACTTCCCCACCTCAGTTAAGACAACCCAAAACACCTCCTGACATTGCCAAATGCCTCTGGGAGAAGAGAGGATTTCCCTGTTTGAGAACCATTGTTCTGTTCTATGGTGCGCTTGTATAATTGCTTCCTAGAGCAATCATTAGATTGCACTTCTAAACATTGTAAACCTGCAACCTCTTATTAGTTAAAATTTCACATTAATCCCCCCGACAGGAGTGTTGATACAACCAACAACCCAGTGAGTTGTCACACATACCTTTCCATGGCGATCCTTTGATGTTCATGTTGGTGATCGTTGAGGGAAACACACTTCACCAGAGGAGATCCGGAAGTCTTACGGTTTTCTCTCTCCCAGATATTGGCTTTATAAACCTTTGACATCTTCATGAATATAATGAATCAGGCATTCGTTTCCCTTTTCCTGGTCATCTATTTCCATCATTGAGATTACCCCCATAATTTCAAACATCAAATGGTATTTTATTTCTTATTCATATTCAGGAAGACATATTGGTCAGAAATGAACATTCTAGGAAGGATTTTGATTAATTAGGCCAAAAGGAAATGAGAGAAATGATGAAGGTGAGATCTGAGACTAGTTTGGTTTGGAGGATCTATAAAACTACAGAAGTCATTTACTTTAAAATTTATCTTATTTCTCTACAGTTTGTTGAATACATAGGATTATATTTCACTTAAGTAACAGTCTCATGTATTATCAGTTATCAAGTTTCTTCCTCAAGATTGCTAGGTAAAGATTTAAACATTTTTACACTAAATACCAAGAGATATAGAATAAGGATTGAGAAATCAGAATTTTCAGTCCCCTGTTACACTGTCATTAAATTTCCCTCATTTTGTTTCTTTTTACATTTTGTCTTTTTAAAAATACGTTTCGTCTTTTTAAAAATAGCATATCTGTATGGTACTTTCAATGTACATCTTCATCTGTTTATTTCTTTTGATTTTAACATATGTGTTAAGTGGTATTATTCTCTCCAGTTTACAGATGAAGAAACAGGAGCCTGGAGAGACTAAAGGTCAAGAATATGAAAGAAGTAGTTCAGTGCAAAAGTAATTGTGGTTTTGGGCTTTACTTTTAAATGGTAAAAACTGCAATCACTTTCACACCAACCTAATAATTCTACAGTTGAGTTAAATGAAGGAACAATTATTACTTCACGGAAAATCAGGAGTCATGTGAGGAAGGCTGGGAAATGAATTCTCTTGTAAACATCCTGTGGACCCACTTCTAAGACAAACAAGCTATAACCCCTGATTTAAGAGTTTATTTTGGGGAAGTGATACAGTAGTTTTCCAGGGCAAACACACGTGCGTGCGCACACACACACACACAGACACACTTACACCCATCATCCTGCTATACCATGTAATAAACTGAAATTCTAGCCAGTAATTTCCACTCTTTTCGAGGATAGGAGTGTGTAAACTGTTATTAACTTATGATCTCTCTACCTTCTCTGACCCTGAGCCACTCTGGGGTTAAGGTGACAAAAATTCATCTTTCATGGGCTTAAAAATTCCATTCACCTTTTGAAAATTTCCTAAATGAAATGATTATAATGAATAAGAACTAAGTTTTATTGATGACTTTCTCTAATTTTTAAGTCCATGCATCTAAAGCAGCCTGTGACCTTTAGTTTCAAATTTGCTGTCTCTTACAATAGACTGATGAATGAGGTAATTTAAAAAATAATCTTCCTATGGCATTTACTTTTTCCATAGTTCCTAGAGCCACATATGTGCTTTAGCAATTATCTGACTAAGTGCTCTTATGGGGACCTAGAAATCTTAACGAAGACTAACGTCTCTGAAAAACTATCTTCCTAATTGCCTTAGTTTAAGGCAATCCTGCGTTTTGAATCATAAACATCAAATGTGATGATTCATAGACTCTCTCAATCTGAAAGCTGGGTCAGGATTCCATATATTCACATTAGGTATTCATTTTTTCCCTGGATGGTGAAAGTCTGAATTATTAAGAGAGCAGAGCTGTGTGGCAGAGAAATTTACATTATCCCGTATTCTCCTCCTCTCCCATAAACTTAAGAGTAAGAAAATCTGTTACAAGAACTGACAATGACAACTTAATCTTAAAATTTAAAGGTGTTGCAACATTTGTAGATAGCCAGGATAAGAGCAATCTAAGAAAACCTAAGCTGTGTTTATTCAGTGGCAGTCAGTCGATTTATTTGACTGCAAAGAGGTACATGTTTCTCTGTAAAATTTATTGTGTGTTTCCTTGCTGCTCCACAGCCCCACATTTCCTGTGAATGGAATATTGCAATATATAAATAATGCAAAGACATATTTTATGCAAAAATCATAGTTGTCCTATTCTTCTAACTGCTGTGCATGTTATCCCTTTTCACCTTAATTTTTATGTGTGCTTATTTGTCAGCCTTTCTCTTTATCAAACTGTGCCCTTAATTTAGAGCAATAAAGAAGTTCAGTAAGAATTGGGTTGTATGTTTTAAAACTTTACAAAACTTCGTTTGCCATTTTTGGTCTGAGGTCTTGTGATGAAACTGGGGGCTGATGATTGATTTATGTCAAGTAGCTGAATAAATAGCTCAAATGATGCTAAAATTCCCATACTACATTTAGTACCTGAAACTAATAAACAAGTTTGCCATCTTTTCTAAAGAACTCTAATTTTTAACATTAAGTAACATCAGGTTGGTTTTTATTCCTAATTTGGAACAAAGTTTGTGTTTTCTTCTGTTTATCTGTTTTTAAGTTTGGAATAATTTTGTTTTTCCTTCTGTCATGTATGAAGCAAAGTATATTTAAAATCTTTCACAGGCCGGGTGTGGTGGCTCACGCCTGTAGTCCTAGCACTTTGGGAGGCTGAGGCAGGCAGATTAAGAGATCAGGAGTTAGACGCCAGTCTGACCAATATGGTGAAACCCCGTATCCACTAAAAATACAAAAATCAGCTGGGTGTGGTGGCGGGCACCCACTGACTAGTCCCAGTTACTCAGGAGGCTGAGCAGGAGAATCGCTTGAACCCAGGAGGCGGAGGTTGCAGCGAGCCATGATTGTACCACTGCACTCCACCCTGGGCCACAGGGTGAGACTCCATCTCAAAAAAAAACAAAAAAAAAATGTCTTCACATAACTTAAGAGGTGTCTACTGCAAGATATGCTAGGGGATATTAAAGAGGGAAAGAAATTAAGAGTTAAAAAAATCCTCAGAATAAATGTATCACAAAGATATTTCAATTTATATTAGTAGTGAATTGTCTTAAATAAAGCGAAATATGAAATGATTAAAGGTGTATTGTTTATGAATTGAAAAATTCTGAATAGTCATCTTCTAATGCTTGGACTAAAAAATTAAATAGTATGTATGCTGTTTTCAGTATAAAATATTAGACAATGTAAAGGGCACATTGGAGAAAAGATCAATAGTGTTTTTTTTGAATGGCACTATTTTTAGAATAAGCAAAATGCAATGCCTTAATTACATCCTACTATTTAGATTAACTTCATACATATTGTTGAATTGAATTTGGCCTAATGCTGCCCCATTTTCAGTAAACTGCAATCTAACTTAGTATGTAAACAAACTGCAACCTAAATTAAGAATATATTCTTGTAACAAGTAGCTGAGTCTTGGACAATCTTAGCAGCTGAGCTTTCAGCCAGTTACAGGCTACAAACTGCTCAGACATGTCCAAGTAAGGCAAAGGAGGAGCTGTAATCAATGACACTATTTCTGTTTGTCATTTTATTTTTCTGTCTGTAAATACTGCCTGCCCACTTTGCAGGGAGGAGCTTTCTAAACCATTACTCATTTAGGGTGCTGCCTCATTCATTAATTGTCTCTTTGCTCATTTAAACCCTGCTAAAATCAATTCTTCTAAAGTTTTTTCTTTTAACAATAATAAGATATGCTTTTGTTTTCTTTTGGGAGTGTTCCTGTTCAGTGTTTGTTTTTGCTAGGGCTTTGGAGATCATCAGTTTCCCTTCAGAACCCCAGAATGCAAGTTCTTAATCTGTTGTCAGTTCCTTGAGGGCATTTGCTACTTAAATAAGAAAACTATAGTGGAAGCATTTGGAAATTTCCCTTATAATTCTTATTTTTTTCTTTTAATTGCTGCTATACTATTCATATCTTCTGGTCTAGTTCTATGAGATCTCTATGAATTATATGTCACATGCTTGTTCTGAATCATGTGTGCCTTGGGACAAATTTTAATGCCTGATATAAAATAATGCCAGATTTAAGGATGATGTGTCCAGAGACTTCACAAATGTAAATCTCACTCTTTAAGAGTTATGTCTTTTTTTTTTTAGGCAAAATAATTAAATATTTAGCTGTATGCTAATCAGAAGTGAGGTGGATAACTTTCCTTGTGAAAGGTTCCTCACACTTCAATATTATAGGTATGTGCACAGGCACACACATTTCTTATCTGATGGAAAGTAGAGCTGAAGCATGCCTACTTCTAGCTAGGGATCAACTGGTCTATCTATCTATCTATCACCTATCTGTTAATCATCTCTTATTATTATCGAATAGGAAATGGGACTCTCAGCCATGCTTACTTCCAGGGATAATTTTAAATTTTATAATTTAAAATTCTAATTAGCACAGACACCATCAAATAGAACAGAAAGCTATAGCAATAGATCAGGGTGCCTGAGGCCCCCTGAAATGATAGGCATTAATTTTTTATTGTTTCATAGTGGTGAGACTGTAGGGGTTGACCTATGCGAGGGGCTGGGGGAGTCTAGAGGAATCAGAGCACTTGGGAAGTCAGGGAGTTGAGTCTGTGCTGAGAAGTATTTTGATATTGTAACAACGCTTAGGGCCATGCATGTGCTGACACACTATCACCCCTAACTTCCTCCACTGCCAATTTTTTTGCCTATATTGAAAGATTCAGATTGAAAAGTAGAGCAGGCTCTTCAGAGAAAATGCTGCCCTTCAAATCCAACCTACATACCCTTTATCCTCCAATACATTTTTCTGTTAGAATTTGTCTAAAATATCTTAGCTGTGACATATCTGCTTAGTTTTTTTTTTCTTATTTATTCATTCATGTCTTATCAGTATAACCAAAGGGATTATTTTTTAGGAAAGCTCCTTACCATTGCAGTGGATCTAGAAGAAAATGGACATATAAATAAGAATTAATTCTTTGATGGAGTGCTCTATTGTCCAACAGTAATTAAAACATGTATAATACTAGGCTTTTAAATGACATATGGGAATGTAGAAGTTCAAGGTGATGAAGAAGTCTTGTGGGAAAGGCAGGTCACAGAATCATGGATCTCACTAATTCTAATAAAATAAATGGAAAATAAGATTAAAAAGAAACTAAAAATACACTTATCAAAAGTGGAAGGAAGTATGAACATGTTCATTTTTAAAAATGGTTTATATCTGAGAATCAATAGATATAGTCAAGCTGATTTTTATCAGTTACGATTTCAACAGATGATGCAAAGTTCTGACTGTAACCCTTACAAAAATGGAAAACAGATCGTAAACCTTTTAAGTTGTCAGAAAAAGAAAATACACATACGCATACACACACATCCAAAACACAAGACTTTCCATTTAATAGAAAATAGAAAAAAAAGGATATGTAGGCCACAAAAATATGCAATTGGGGGCAGAATAAAATCAAGTATATCAAGATAAATCTACTTATTAAAAGAAGAAAATGACTCAGTTTCTCTAAAAATGGCAAATTCCAATTAAATGCTTATATACAAGTGACATAGCTTGTAGGGGAGAAGAGATTCTTTTTCTTGCCCATAGATAGGT